GTGATTTTCTCCTTAATTTTTGCCCACGTGTGCGATACATAACCTACAAATAGATGCGCTAATTGTTTTATCTGCCTCTCTGTTTTCTAATAATGTAATAAAACAAGAAACATTTCCCATACGACACAAAAGTTGCAGTAATATTCCTGCAACATTAAACATTGTAGTCATATTGCAGCAATGTTGCTGCAAGAAACTGTGCTGTACGGGTTTATTTTTGACACATAGTGTTTTCCCGATAGTATTAATCTGAATTAAAAACTTATGTTCATTTATCGATTTACTTACGAAATGTTACTCGTAACATTTCGAACGTTTAAAAAAAAACCTAAAATTGATAAACGTTCTATTTTATACAGAAAGATTTTCTAATTTTATCTTTAGAAAAAGCTTTTCTTTAAAATTCTTTGTTTGAATATTATTTAAACGTTCTGATTTATATAGAAATAATTTTCTAATTTTTTCTTCAGGAAAACCTTTTCTTTAATATTTCTTTGTTATGTATGCGTGTATGTGTATCTGTGAGATGACATATAAACATTCTCATTCATACTCAAAGAATTTTTTAATTTCTTCACAAAAACTTTTTATTTCTTTGGAATGTCATCAAATTATATCTGACATGTTATTACATGCTTTTATTTAGTTGTTTCTGAATACAATATACACTAATAAGACTGTAAAAGTATAAAATAAGCAACGTATGTGTTTGTAACAAATCTCTGATATCTTTAATACATCACTTAGATTTTTAGCCCTTAATACATATAATTAAATCATTTGTATTCAGCAGTTCTTTTCTTCGAAAAACTAAGAGCATTGAGTAGTTAATTATAACATTTAGATACAAATTTTAAAAATATATAATAATTCTACAAATACTTTATAAACATATAAAGTATATGTAAGGATTATTTAATAATTTTTTTTATATTGTTAAATTAATTAAAAATTAATCTGAAACGGGAACAAATAATTCATCAAAGACTAGAAATTATTGTTTATACTAAGGGTTAACTTTTATAGTTCATGTAATTATTAAAATTATATTTATAGAGAATAATAAATTATTTGTAGTAATTATGTATCTTTACAGCCTCCAGTTTTGATAAAAGAATTTGGTCCGATAGATTACATTGATTTTTCGCAAGTAGAACCACATTATTTTGCAACAACCTGCTCGGTACGAGTACAACTGTATAATCCAATCACAAAGTTAGCCACAAAAACTTACAGCAAGTTCAAAGAAGCTGCATATGGAGGTTGCTTTCGTAGAGATGGCAAGCTGTTATGTGTTGGTGGAGAAGAAGCAGTTATTAAACTCTTTAATATCAGTTCAAATAGCATGTTGCGAATTTTTTCTGGACACAAGGCTGCAGTGCACAGAGTTTTCTTCACAGCTGACGATATTCACATTGCCTCATTTTCGGATGATAAGACTGTAGCTTTGTGGGATATATCTAGCGAAAAACAATTGACAAGCTTTAATGAACATACAGATTATGTCAGAGCTGGTGCAGTGAGTCCTGTATCCCCTCATGTGTTATTATCCGGTGGATATGACAAAATTGTGAATATGTATGACACTAGAACGAATAAGAAAGTATTTAGTGTTAATCATAACGCACCAATAGAAAGTTTACTCTTCTTACCAACTGGAGGAATATTTTTGTCAGCAGGTATAATATATTTATGATTGGTTATATTTTATGTATCTTTGTATATAATTAAAAAAATTTTTTTAGTGCACAGTTCAATGACTACATATGTAGTATATAAATTCACTTGGAAATTATTATATTTGAGCATCTAAGATCTAGTTTTGCTCATTATAGACTTTAATTCTTACTTGTTGTGTATTCACATTATCTTAATCATTTATTGTTTTACTATTTTATAAATTTTTTAGTACATATAACATGTACAATAATTACATAATTTCATATAATTGAGGCTTCATGTATAAAATTGTTTACTTCTTTATCTGTAATTTCAAGGTGGGACAGATATTAAAGTATGGGACGCTCTCGCGGGTGGCAAATTACTCGCGAAAATTACACAACATCATAAAACTGTAACTTGCTTGAAAATTGCTTCTAATGGTCACAGAATACTTTCTGGTTCGTTGGACAGGCATGTTAAAGTTTACGATGCTGGAACGTATAGAACCCTTCATGCTTTGGAATATCCTAATGCGGTTCTCAGCATAGGAATTAGTGTAAGAAAAAAATTGTCTTTTCTGTTACACGTTAAATCTGCTGTCACATATTTATCTCTGTCTATACTTATCTCGGAAATAGTCGTTTGAAAATATCCCAGGTGATCGTTTACGTAAATAAATGACTACTCTCGGATAAATAAATTTCATCTATCTAATATTATAAAATTAAATTATTCACAAAAATTTATTTAATTGATAACAATTAAATACGTTAATATTAAACTGCAGGTAAACGACGAAACCGTCGTTGCTGGTATGGTAGACGGTATGATTTCTGTTAGAAGACGCGAGGAAGACGTTAAAGCTGTAGTAAAACCAAAACAGAAGAAGGTGTCATATAGACATGCAGGTGAAAATCTTCATGTGCGAAGTATCGATGTAGTCGTACATCAAGATGTCAAAGAGATAATGAGCAAGCATGATGTCTGCTTGCGAAAGTTTCAATATAGTAAAGCGCTCGATTGTGTCATGGTGAATTATGTGGTTAATAAAACGCCACATGTCACCGTAGCGCTTACCCAGGAACTTATTAGGCGAGAAGGCTTAAGGCGAGCTTTGACCGGTAGAGACGGCAAGTCGTTAGTTAATATTATTAAATTTCTGAATAAATATATCGGCAGCATACGTTTCGGAAGAGTATTGTCGCACGTAGCGAATGTGTTGTTAGGTAAGCTTTAAATATTTCTTTAGAATTTCACACGTTTCTTACATTAATAAAATCTATGATTTGTTTAATAGACATTTACGAAGACCGTTTGGACGAACTGTCAGAGGAAACACGAAAAATGTTCGCTATACTGTCACAAAAATTACAAGAAGAAGAACAGTTAATTTTAGCTTTAACGCAATTGCAAGGTTCAATGCAAATGATATTGTCTGGTGCTGAAACGTCTTCTTTGCCTGCTATAAAAGAAATTCAAAGCTTGGAACCATCAAACGCCGCTCAAACAGAACATGATATCATCTTGAATATAGCTTAAAATAACTTATAAAGTATTATTTAATTGTACAATAATTTTTGTAAAATAGTTTGTACATAATTTTATAGCGCGTTTCACTGGCAGAGCTAGTGCGCACTCAGTGCACATGAAGCCGTTATACATTATTCTGATCTGATATTAAAGTAAGATATCTCAATTGATAAAATGCTTATTGTGTATTTTGTCAAATAACACAATAAAATATATTGAAGATTTTGTGGTTTTAATCATTTTTTTTTATTTTTATTAAACATATATTTCTATATCGATTTGTGTACAAAGGCATTAAAGTACACTGAGTGCGCACTAGCTTTGCCAGTGAAATGCGCTATTACATTAGCATCAAATTTCTCAAAATATAAATGAACAATTTAAATACTTCCCTCTTAATAAATAAGTGAAGAGTAACAAATTGGACTTTTTAAAAATTAATTTAGCGTGAAGCAATGTGTGGTATACAAGTTGAAAATATTCTAGCAAATTGTTTTACATTTTTTTAAATAATCTTAAATTGACACGTCATTCGTTTATTTCAAGAAGTCTCCTTATTGACACATTTTTGCCAAGCATCAGAAGATGGTCGTTCAGGCACTATCCAACCAATTGGAATCGTTTTTTTAACTGATTAACATCGCATCATTTTTTTAACTGATTAACTTGTCCCAGGCCGCACTAAAATGTAAAAAAAATATTTTTTCTGAAAAAAATAAAACGATATCATTTGAAATTATGTTTTGATAATAAATACATACCGAATCGTTATAAAACTATCCATGTCATTATAGGATTGTTTAGCAGCCAATATACTTGCCTATATACTCGCCTATATTCGCGACGCTTTTCTGTTGCGCCAGAAAGTAGCTCCGTATTGCCTAGTTCACACTAGGCGCGATTAGCGATGCGCGACGAGCGATAACTAATAAGAACTCTGCTTTACATCGTCGTGTGAGCTAAAGCAAAGCTTTTATTGGATATCGCTCGTCGTAAAGTTAATATCGTTGTATCAGCGAATCTAACGGTTGTGCTGACTTGTGCTAGGCTAGCACAATTCAGATATGCAATTTTGTGGTATTTGAATGACGTATACGAATGTTAGCGTTATTTTTATTCCGATTTGTGAAAAATCGTTTTTCTTTCATATTTTTTGTTGTTGTCATTATTTTTGAATATCACTTTAGCACAAATTAGCACAACATAGCACAACCTTAAAAATTGAAAAAATCGCAAAGTGGGGGCTGGCCTAAAATATGGTTTTTTTTAAATTTTTTTAATGTATTTTTCGTATTTTGATATTAATATTCGGGCACAATGTAGCACAATTCAGCACAATTCTCAAAATAAGTGAATTCAAAAAGTGGGGGGCTAACTTAGTACAGGTGTAGATTAGAGAGAGAGAGAAATGTATGTACATGACAGACAATACTTCCAACTTTTCCCGCAATGGTGCTAAAATCACATCTTCTCGGTTTCCATGGGGTTTTCCGAAACCGTGTTTCGAGCCCATATTTAAGCGGGGAGCACAGACTTTTGCATAACGCATAAAGCATGTGCATAAGGAATTTCATTGGTCCATTTTCTTATGCATGAGTCAGTGGACCAATCAAATTCTTTATGTATATGGTTTATGCGTTATGCAAAAGTCTGTGCTCCCCGCTTTATTCTCGAGTTTGATCTCCTTATTACTCCGTGCCTGTTAAGCTGGATCGCAAGTTCGTTGCGACAGCCAATCTCAAGCTTGCATTTTGAAATCAACGCTTCAGATTGGCTGTCGCAACAAACTTGCGATCGGCTTGCAACTAATGTAGAACCGGCATTACCCAACGGGCAACGAACAACCACCCGGTGATGAATCTGAATGCAGCTCTACGGAATGCTTCACCTTGTTATTTCCATGGTGGAAATATACGGGAACGACTCATCTTTTATATTTATACCATAGTTATTTCCATGGTCACACGTATGTACACGTGCTTTGCTTGCGAATTCCGAACTTCCGAGTTCCGACCACTGACCAGTTCCGACGGACCACTCGACCGTGACGGTGACGGACGTGTTTCGGTTCGGGTACTTTCCATTGTATATTTTTGAAAGTGTTGCCGACTTTTGACTGTGCATCGCATCACATAGATGCGTGTCCGCGGATGAGCTTGTCTCGATTGTTCGTCATTTTGCACTTTACGACGACTAGGGCTTTGACGCGCGTTATTGCGACGTGACGACGCCGTAGACGCAGGCGCCCGGAAACCGGTCGAGCAACGCCATTTTCGCAGGCATCACCCGTTCGTTTTCATATTTTTGTACGGTTTACTTTAAAGACGTGATCTCGGACGTGATCTGGCCGTATCGACCTCCTATTTCATCGCTTACAGGCTGGAGCCATTATTTGAGGAAGAAGAAGAGCTTTGTTGTGTGTGCTACCAGTTGCGCCAGGCCGCCGACAGATGGCGCTACCGTCGAGTGCTGCAAGCGAGTTGAAAATCGCATCACTGATCAGGAGTAAAAATGTGATTTTCCGCAACAAGAAACATTTATTTTTGACACATAGTTTTTTCCCGATAGTATTAATCTGAATTAAAAACTTATGTTCATTTATCGATTTACTTACGAAATGTTACTCGTAACATTTCGAACGTTTAAAAAAAAACCTAAAATTGATAAACGTTCTATTTTATACAGAAAGATTTTCTAATTTTATCTTTAGAAAAAGCTTTTCTTTAAAATTCTTTGTTTGAATATTATTTAAACGTTCTGATTTATATAGAAATAATTTTCTAATTTTTTCTTCAGGAAAACCTTTTCTTTAATATTTCTTTGTTATGTATGCGTGTATGTGTATCTGTGAGATGACATATAAACATTCTCATTCATACTCAAAGAATTTTTTAATTTCTTCACAAAAACTTTTTATTTCTTTGGAATGTCATCAAATTATATCTGACATGTTATTACATGCTTTTATTTAGTTGTTTCTGAATACAATATACACTAATAAGACTGTAAAAGTATAAAATAAGCAACGTATGTGTTTGTAACAAATCTCTGATATCTTTAATACATCACTTAGATTTTTAGCCCTTAATACTTATAATTAAATCATTTGTATTCAGCAGTTCTTTTCTTCGAAAAACTAAGAGCATTGAGTAGTTAATTATAACATTTAGATACAAATTTTAAAAATATATAATAATTCTACAAATACTTTATAAACATATAAAGTATATGTAAGGATTATTTAATAATTTTTTTTATATTGTTAAATTAATTAAAAATTAATCTGAAACGGGAACAAATAATTCATCAAAGACTAGAAATTATTGTTTATACTAAGGGTTAACTTTTATAGTTCATGTAATTATTAAAATTATATTTATAGGGAATAATAAATTATTTGTAGTAATTATGTATCTTTACAGCCTCCAGTTTTGATAAAAGAATTTGGTCCGATAGATTACATTGATTTTTCGCAAATAGAACCACATTATTTTGCAACAACCTGCTCAGTACGAGTACAACTGTATAATCCAATCACAAAGTTAGCCACAAAAACTTACAGCAAGTTCAAAGAAGCTGCATATGGAGGTTGCTTTCGTAGAGATGGCAAGCTGTTATGTGTTGGTGGAGAAGAAGCAGTTATTAAACTCTTCAATATCAGTTCAAATAGCATGTTGCGAATTTTTTCTGGACACAAGGCTGCAGTGCACAGAGTTTTCTTCACAGCTGACGATATTCACATTGCCTCATTTTCGGATGATAAGACTGTAGCTTTGTGGGATATACCTAGCGAAAAACAATTGACAAGCTTTAATGAACATACAGATTATGTCAGAGCTGGTGCAGTGAGTCCTGTATCCCCTCATGTGTTATTATCCGGTGGATATGACAAAATTGTGAATATGTATGACACTAGAACGAATAAGAAAGTATTTAGTGTTAATCATAACGCACCAATAGAAAGTTTACTCTTCTTACCAACTGGAGGAATATTTTTGTCAGCAGGTATAATATATTTATGATTGGTTATATTTTATGTATCTTTGTATATAATTAAAAAAATTTTTTTAGTGCACAGTTCAATGACTACATATGTAGTATATAAATTCACTTGGAAATTATTATATTTGAGCATCTAAGATCTAGTTTTGCTCATTATAGACTTTAATTCTTACTTGTTGTGTATTCACATTATCTTAATCATTTATTGTTTTACTATTTTATAAATTTTTTAGTACATATAACATGTACAATAATTACATAATTTTATATAATTGAGGCTTCATGTATAAAATTGTTTACTTCTTTATCTGTAATTTCAAGGTGGGACAGATATTAAAGTATGGGACGCTCTCGCGGGTGGCAAATTACTCGCGAAAATTACACAACATCATAAAACTGTAACTTGCTTGAAAATTGCTTCTAATGGTCACAGAATACTTTCTGGTTCGTTGGACAGGCATGTTAAAGTTTACGATGCTGGAACGTATAGAACTCTTCATGCTTTGGAATATCCTAATGCGGTTCTCAGCATAGGAATTAGTGTAAGAAAAAAAATTGTCTTTTCTGTTACACTTTAAATCTGCTGTCACATCTACACTTATCCCGAAAATATTCGTTTGAAAATGTTCCAGATCGTTTACGTAAAAAAATGACTACTCTCGGATAAATAAATTTCATCTATCTAATATTATAAAATTAAATTATTCATAAAAATTTATTTAATTGATAACAATTAAATACGTTAATATTAAACTGCAGGTGAACGACGAAACCGTCGTAGCTGGTATGGTAGACGGTATGATTTCTGTTAGAAGACGCGAGGAAGACGTTAAAGCTGTAATAAAACCAAAAAAGAAGGTGTCATATAGGCATGCAGGTGAAAATCTACATGTGCAAAGTATCGACGTAGTCGTACACCAAGATGTCAAAGAGATAATGAGCAAGCATGATGTCTGCTTGCGAAAGTTTCAATATAGTAAAGCGCTCGATTGTGTCATGGTGAATTATGTGGTTAATAAAACGCCACATGTCACCGTAGCGCTTACCCAGGAACTTATTAGGCGAGAAGGCTTAAGGCGAGCTTTGACCGGTAGAGACGGCAAGTCGTTAGTTAATATTATTAAATTTCTGAATAAATATATCGGCAGCATACGTTTCGGAAGAGTATTGTCGCACGTAGCGAATGTGTTGTTAGGTAAGCTTTAATATTTCTTTAGAATTTCACACGTTTCTTATATTAATAAAATCTATTATTTGTTTAATAGACATTTACGAAGACCGTTTGGACGAACTGTCAGAGGAAACACGGAAAACGTTTGCTATACTATCGCAAAAATTACAAGAAGAAGAACGGTTAACTTTAGCTTTAATGCAGTTGCAAGGTTCAATGCAAATGATATTGTCTGATGCTGAAACGTCTTCTTTGTCTGCTATAAAAGAAATTCAAAGCTTGGAACCATCAAACGCCGCTCAAACAGAACGTGATATCATCTTGAATATAGCTTAAAATAACTTATAAAATATTATTTAATTGTACAATAATTTTTTAAAAATAGTTTTACATTAGCATCAAATTTCTCAAAATATAAATGTATAATTTAAATACTTCCCTCTTAATAAATAAGTGAAGAGTAACAAATTGGACTTTTTAAAAATTAATTTAGCGTGAAAAAATGTGTGGTATACAAGTTGAAAATATTCTAGCAAATTGTTTTATATTTTTTTAAATAATCTTAAATTGACACGTCATTCGCTTATTTCAAGAAGTCTCCTTATTGAGACATGTTTGCCAAGCAGCAGAAGATGGTCTTTCAGGCACTATCCACCCAATTGGAATCGTTGTCGCATCATTTTCTGAACTAATAAACTTGTCCCAGGCCGCACTAAAATGTAAAAAAAATATATTTTCTGGAAAAAAAAAAAAAACGATATCATTTGAAATTATGTTTTGATATTAAATACACACCGAATCGAGATAAAACTATCTATGTCTTTATAGGATTGTTTAGCGGCCAATATACTTGTTCCAAATAGTACATTTTCCCAATCGTCAAATAAATTTTTCGTTTGTTTTTCAATCCTCTTTTCGTTATCTGTTTTTAGCATTAATTTCAATTCCTGTTCTTCTATCGCATACTCGCGATCCAAAGTAGTCCATTGTTCTATTAATTTAGCTGTAATATATATTTATAATTAAAAATAAAATAAAATTGTAATTTAAAATAATAAAATAATTATATTTGTACAAGTGAATTAAAAAATTATAGCCTGTATTAAATACTCTATTAATCATGTTTCACATTAATTTTGTTATTATTAGAATTTCTAATTATTATATTGTATTTATTGATTTTTATTTCGCATTTCGAAAAGTTTACATTTATTGTTTTTATCATTGAAAATAATGAAATGTAGCAAAATAAGATATATTACCGATGGTATTATTAAAGGCTTTTCCGGCTGCTAAGGACAATTTCTCGCCCCTTGCTCGAGCAATGTTTGCCTTAATCTCTCGTAGGTTTTGTAGTTCTTGTAAAATTCCTAGATACTTTCGTGTATCGTTTCTTTTGCTTCTAACATCGGATAAAACCATATCCGCGTCTTTGCGCAAGTTCTCCTCTTGTTTCTCTCGTTCAATTACTGCCTGCTCTTTTCGAATCCACACATCAGCTTCTGCATGCAATCTTGCTCTTCTTTCTTCCTTCATTAAGTTCTCCTTTTTCCATTCTTTCCTTCTAAGACGTTCTCTCAGGCGCTTCGTCTTACGTTTCTCTAAATCCTTCTTAATTTTATTTAAAAAGTTCGCATCTTTTATAGTTTTTAAAATTTTGCAGATTTCATATTTTGCAGCGTTACAGGCACTGACCTTCTCCTGCCATTCCTCTTCCGGTAAATCAAGATTGTTCTGAAGTTCCGCACAAACAACCTCAAGTTGTTTGTTTAATCTAGCAACGGACATCAATGCACTTTTAGCATCCGCAATTTTAAACGGATCTTTCGGTTTACGTTTGACAGGAACTGTTGAATCTGTCTGTTGGAGGAACTGTTCAATGGCCTTTTCATCTTCTTGTCTTGTTCTTATTCTATCGATTGATGTCGCATTATTAACAGTACTGTTATCACATGTTACATGGCTTGGATAATTATAATATATATTCCCACCGTAATTTACATTGTATGAAAATGGTTGTTGATTTATTGGATAGTACATGTTAAAATGCACATTTTGATAAGTTTGTCCAGTATCTTGTTGGAAAAACTGACCACTGTACATATTTGTTTTAATATGTGTGTATTTAAGTGAAAACAATAACAAAACTTATTTTTTTTAATTATAATAGTTAGGCTATAAGTTTAAAGTGTGAAATTAATCAACCTTAAAAGATTAGTAAAGAAAAGAAATAAAAATATTGGATAATTGAAAAAAAATAATTTAGAGAAAATGATTAAAGAGCACTTTTTTTTAACACATCTGCAAAATATCCCCTTCTTTCGGCAACTGTTCTTCTGCTTCCTGCAGTACTTTTTCAGCCTCAATGTAATCTTCGACTTCCTTCAAATCTTGTTCAGTATCTAAAATCTTTTTGAGTTCTTCAAACGCTTTAACAAGACGCCTTTGACAATCTGGTACCATCATAAGGGATTCTTGAAGCACCTCTTCTTGTTTCTTTATGTCGTAGCCATCTTTATCTGCAACAACACATGTATTACTATTAATAAAATTGTTTAATATTAATTTATCAATAATATCACTTTAAAGATCTCAAAATTAAAGAAAGGAAAGCATCTCGCGAATAATTGATTTAAATATTAAAAATTATGATTTTACGAAACAACAATTGTATCACTAAAAACATTTATAATTAATAAAGATGTCTACAAATTAAATATTATATATCAGAATCTGGGTTGTAAATATTTCTGATCCGAACATATTACGTGGCTATGAAACAAGTTTCGACGTCACGTGATAAGGAAATTGCGTCCTTTCTCCCCTCATAGCTAAAAAACGATCCTCACCCTGTTCTTTTAACTTTTGTATCCTCTCGCGCTGCTGCGCTGCCTCCTTTTCGTACGTAACTTTTTCTTTCGCGAGACGCTTCACTACTCCTGTCTTAATCTTGAGCGTTCTTATACGCGGGTCAGACATTATTTGTATGTTCACGAACGGTTGCTTCACCTTTTCGGGACGGAAGAAGCTGGAGCCGTGGATGTGAGTCGAGGAACCAACAGTCTCTTTGCTTTGTTTTCTTTTTTCGCCTTATTAGGCTAGGACGAGTCGATAGAAACGGAATTGTGACCGACACCGTGACACACAGCGATGAGGTTATGTATCGGCTCGCGCGCTCACTTCACTTCGTAGTCGTACTATTCGACTGTCTGACGTCACCTGACATTTGTCGAGATCTCGATATCACGTATCGATAATGTGCCGCGGTTTGTTTTTGTCAATCTTGCGGGTAATTTCTTATTATAACAGCTTATAGTTTGTCACAATTTGTTACAGTTTCTTTCCATTTCCACACAAGTGATACTGAGGCTGTATTCTAAATTTACTGCCAGGGCTGGTTATAATTTACGTTAGATGTACAATACTACAGATTTTTAGTATTTACTAGCAATTAGTTTAAGGCCCGATTGCATCAACGTTTAAAAAAAAAGACTTAAATAAACTGTCTCTATCTCTGTCTCTTTTTCGACTTTTTTTATATTTTATATTCACACATCTTAATTTTGGTGATCAAGGCAATGTTCCAAAATTTACTGCCAATACTAAAAATCTATAGTTTACGTCACGTGAACTATAGATTTTCAGTACTGGCAGTAAATTTTGGAACACAGTCCAAGTTATCGGGTAACAACACAAGTTTATGACCTCTGCACTTTTAACGTAAGTTAACACACGCAATGCTAGAAGATATCTTTGGCTGTGTTCCAACTTTATTGCCAGCGCTGAAAATCTATAGTTTACGTTACATGCGCTGTAATTTTCAGCACTGACAGTAAATTTGGAACACATAGCTTTTATGATGTCTTATTTTAGACATCTTTATTATAGACATGCATGTCCTAAATGATATTGTTTTTATATGATGTTTCCGTAAGGTTTTTTAGGTCTACACTGATTCCACCAGTATAAGATTAACTTTAATTTCTGTTTAAGTTACTGTTTATCTTTTTCTAATTCCAAGAAAATAGAAAAAAGTCAAAGATGAATAAATATATATATATTGAATCGAGATTAAAGTTAATTGGTGGAACCAAATCGTACATGCGATGTCGTCTATTGGGAACATTCAATTCAAGAGTTTGTGCAGATTGTGAAAACTTATTTGAAACTCTCTTAATTGTCAAAATAAAAAGGAACGTGCATGATGTCACAAATAAGAATTATGAATTAAATGAAGTAAATGCGGAAAGCAACTTATATTACGTGCATCGCGCTGCAGTAAGTTACTGTGAGTTTTATCGCGATCTATAAAACGGGAAAACGCAAAAGAGCCTCCGCTTTATCGCGTAGCAAGCGCCGGGATATGACGCGATTATCGTTATCCGAGGATCTAGTAAGACTCGAGCGAACTTTACCTTTCGCGTTATTATCGGTCGCGGTATTATCGCGCTTCGTCCAATGAGAACGTATCAGACGTTTACGGTAATCAACGACACGATAATTTTCCGGAAGGCGATAAAGAGAAAACAATATACCTATAGTTTATGTAGGAAGTTTATAAACTTAAGTTTTTATAGGGGCATGCGCAATATTTCAATTGTTTATCAAGCACTCAAAATCGACGTTTTACGACATTCTATGTCGAATCTAAGATGTAGACTTTCATTTATTATTCGATAAATATTTTCGAATGTATCTCAAATTTATTTTCAAATCAAAGGAAAATTTTAAGAGAGATTAAATCTGGACATGGATAGTATACATTATAGTTAAATTAATAAAAACTGTTAGAGATCACAAAATACATAGGTATATGTACTTTAATCACTTTGATAGTGCATATTAACTTTTAGTTGTTAGTTGAAATAATTAAGTTTGTGTTTTAATTGATATTTGTCCTTTTATTTTCTATTCCGACATTACGTGTAATATATTCTACTTACAATTAAAGAACACATTTTCGGAATAAAATTAGATACTAATAGAAAATAATTAAAGCGAGTAAATATATAAGTAGCGATCAATGTGCTCTTTCACGAAACATCTGTGATTTTCTAAGACAACGTAAATTAATAGACTCGTTTTTGCAAGAAATCTATCATTTCTGAATCTAAGTGCATTTCAATCACTCAAAAAATCTAACAATTTGTTGTATAAAACAAGTGGTTTGCATAAAACAAGCATAAAGTATACGGTTACTTATTACATTATATATAATTATAAAAAAACTTAGATAATTATTCATAACACAACAAAAAATAAAGGAAATACGACAAGATAAATTAACATTAATTTTTATGAACCTGCAGAAAAATTGTACGTCGCAGTAGGATTCAATTCGTTGCGCGGTAAGTTACGCGGGGCCGGGTTCGCGTGACGTTGGCGAGCCTGGGCGGCGCGCCCGCCCGGCCCGACTCGCGGCTGACTTCGCACCGCGCGCAGCCGAGCGTGTCTGTTCGCCGTGCCGCACTCCGGTTGCTCCCGACAGCGCTTCCGCAGAGCAAAGTGCCGCACCGCTGTATACGCCGCATACGGGACGCGCCGTGCGGGGCGGCAGAGCCAGAAAGAGGGAGCGATAGACGGACGGAGGGTGGAAGTGAGAAGGAAAGGACGCGAAGGGTGGTGTGTCACACTGGCGCGTCCGCCGTCGATTGATACATCCACGAGGGAGATGTGATGCGGCTCACACGATGGTGGACAACGAGTTCCCGGCCGCCGAGAAGATCCTCCGCGACATCGAGAACACCGTCCGGAGGAATCCCACCATGTGAGTGCGCGTTTCTCCTCACCTTTTTTTTCACGTTCGCGAATAAACCCGGAAATCCGTTTCACGACACACACGGGCGTGTTTTGCCGTCTCTAATCCCCTTTGACAGGAAAAGGGATAGAGTCGCGGCGACAACAACTCGTACGTGAAAAGCTGCCTGCACCCTGCGTTTGTCTGTTATTTACACGAGTCGAAACGGCCGATCATACTTCCGCGTGTTTTTGTGGTGTTAGCGATTTTGAACTCGGCGCAAGTTACGATCAGTTACGATCGCGTTACGATCCCTCCGTCAGTCATTCTCGTTGTTTCTCCTTGGTTATAGTTTTTACATGTCGTTACGACTGTTATTTTTCTATACCTCTTTCAAAGTCTGAGCGCATTCATGCACGACGGTTTGTTCTCGATAATAGAAAACATGGAGCGTGAGAGGCTAAGCGAATGAAGTAGTCCGATATATACGCGTTATCGATTTAAAATCGCCGCGGAGTGTCTTTGGGGGGATCCTAACCTAAATTGCTCTCTCCGAGAGAACCTCGTTTCGGAGCCCGCACTGCAACACCCGTAAACCGGCAACAAAACTTACAGAACACGCGATCGCTAACCGCGCAGTTGCGAGGGCGGAGTCTTCGAAGGGATGGGCGGCGAGAGGGCGGAGGGGAGGAAAAAAAAAAGCGCGTGCACCGGCGATCGTGAAGGCGAGGAGTCGACCTCACGATTTTATAACGCGACGATCGATCTCGCGCGCGCCAACTTTCGCCCACGCCGCTCGCCGTCACGGCGACCGTATCGCGATAATAGCCGCGAAGTTGACTGCGAGTCTATCGCGAGTCACGTGCTCCAACTGTAATTGACCGCTGCTCTAGATCATAATCTATGAAATATTAAGAGCGCGCTCGATTTAACATTAACTCTCACGCGGTATCGTCGAAAGTTCCATTATCGGACTTAATAAATTTCCGTAGAGATTTATTAAGAGTAATAAATCTCCGTCTAAAGATTTATCAAAAAAATTTCAATGCAGTAATAAATGACAGATATTTTTCTTTCTTTTTTTTTTTTGTAAATTCATATGATTTATTTGAACTTTTTTTAACGCACGTGATTTCTTACAATACGCGAAACCGCGCAGCGTTAAGTCCATTGTGTAAGTACATATTGTTAGATTCGTAGAAATAATGGTAATTCAATACTCGAGTTAAATAAAATTGTTATTTTTAACTTCCATGTATATCAAAATATAAATCAGTTTATTTCTGTGGTCAGTTTCAGAGTAAGCAACGTTCATATTAACGTATACAGTTAATAAATAATAAACTAAATTTAATTCAAATTTAATATTGTATGTTTTCGAGTTGAATTGCTTAACCTTTAACTCCATTGTTTTAAGCTAAATTAACAACATATTAGTAGCAGCGACCTACAGAAACGATTAAAAATAATTCAAATCGGATATACGTATAGGTATATAATTAAACATTATAAATTTAACAGTGTAATTGGAACTTGTAAGTGATTGTAGTTGCAAGAATTGATCAATCATAATTAAATATGAGGAGAATATTCGACTGTGATTGGTTAATTCTTACAACTACAGTCACTTACAGCTTACGTAATTGTAGAATGGACTTAATAATTAGTCGACTATATCACATAGACATAGGAAAATGACGGTTGGCACTCGGCTTATTCGAATTACTCCGAGGGTAATTAAAACCAATCTTCTTAATCCTGGCTTTAATACGGTTCATGCGTATGTAGAGAGTAATAACCAAGCATTATTAACGCCCTATTTTACGTTTATCCAATTTGATTCAAAGTTTTGAATTCACGCGTTAATATGAATGTGAGCTTTCGAGCATACAAAAATGTATATAAAAATGAAAGTTAAAACGGGCCCCAATTATTTTCTCACCGAAAAACGCTTATTAATATCATTATGCCGGTTTTGAGTTCGAGATTAAAATAAACTCGCGTTCGATTAAACTTCGCGACTACGATTAAGTTAAAATAAAAAGATTTACAACGAAGAAACATAGAAGTGTGCAACGAAGACGAGGAGATAGTCATACATGGTAGATAATAATTAATTGGCCACGTCCTACGCTCGTAAAATAACGCCATCCGGAGAGCATTGAGTGCTAATAATCGAGGTTTGTTTGCCATCTTTAATTCCACTTGCGTAATGTACTTGGTTTTAATTGCTCGTTTATTTTTACCGGTTTCGGTTTTTTTTTGTGTCGGTTAAATCGCGAGATCGACGCGACGAAGAAAGAGAAAAAAAATCTCACTGCAATTGTGTTTTCACGGATTTACTCTCCTTCGACTATCGGAACTTCGGTGTATGTGTGATTATAAAGTTTTCTCGTGTATAATTGTACTATCTTACATAACAGGCTTTATGTAATTTCCGCAATATCGAATATAGAATCAAATATAAAGAGTTAATTATTGGAAAACTATTTTATAGGTTTACATATAAAAAATAAAATAATCATTTATTTAAGCTTTTTTTTTTTACAATGAATTAAAAAAGTCTTTTGTTAAAAAATCGTTCGTGGAAATCGTGGAAAAAGTGCTATAAAGATAAACGTTTCTTTGTAAAACATATTCAATGGTTCATACTGATAACTAGTGGTTAAGTATGTTGTTTAAAAATTGTTAGATTAAATAATAAAAAGTTTCGAACACACACGGACATAAGGAGACTTGTAATTTTACGTGAGATAGTAAGTTAAGTGCGTTGTTTAAATTGTTAGACTAAAAAATAAAAAGTTTTGAACACACACGGACATAAGGAGACTTATAATTTTATGTGAGATAACTAGTAAGTTAAGTGCGTTGTTTAAATTGTTAAACTAAAAAATAAAAAGTTTCGAATACACGGACATAAGGAGACTTGTAATTTTACGTGAGATTATAAATTTGTCAGCGCAAACTAAACTCTTAATTCCTTACAAACATCAGCATTGCGACGAACGGTTGTCTTATCTAGCTGCTTCCTATATAACGCATTGCAGACTTTAATTGTACACGTTAATAGATCGTAGCCGAATATGAAAATAATTTTGTAAATATTTGATAAAACGAAAATTGCTTAGATATGTAAACGCATTATCTTAATTTCTATTTATTACTGAAAACATTAATAATAAATTGTTTATTTTTCTTTTTTTACCTTATATTCACTATATTTTATATAACGTATATTTTAATAAGAATAATACAAATTAATACATGTAAAGGAAATTGAATTGGTTGACATTTTCAAAGAGATTTATAATTAAGTAGATCCAACGATCAGCTCCGAGAATGAATGTAAAGCAACATACAGAAATTCGGAATAATACACTTAAATTAAAATGTCAAAGAGGCAATGATTGAGTTCAATTCCTTGAATTAAATATTGAATTAAACATTTTGCTAGTTTTAATTTCCGTGTGTCTCTAAATATAAATTAATCTATTTCTGGTTTGAATTGTTTAGTTTTAAGGTAAACAGTGTTTCTATTATGCGTTTAGTAAGCAATAAACTAAATTTGAGTTAAATTAATATGTATTTCTTGAATTTTAAACTGTTTAAATTCGTCATGTCAGTTAAATTGATGACATATTGAGTAGAAGCAGCGATAACTTACATAAATATGATTAAAATATAACTTAGATCGTATAATTTGATAAATTTAACAGTGTATAACTATCTTTACTTTCCTTGATTTAAGAGTCTTACCAAACAGAATTTACGGACGTTCCTTTATTTTCAAATTTTTTTACAAGCTTAAAGCAAAGCGACAATTTACAGTCGCGACTTCTTCTGTACCTTAGAAGGAGCTTTGTGATCCTGCCTATGGAGGACAGCGAGAACCGGTCGCCGGTGTTTCATCAGGAGGACAGCTTGGGCCTGGCATCGTGGTGCGTTCAACCTCTTTACGTGTATACGTATCGCCGGTTGCTGGAGTATCGGCGGACGCGTCATCAACGACGCGAGGAACCCAGTACTGTGGCGAGATGGCTGCTGGGCGCCCTTCTGTTCAATCCGAGCGTGACCATGTTCTGGAATATGCGGCGAGAACTGGTGCGCGCTGGCAGGTTGGACCCGCGCGACGAGCTGTCCTTCACACGGCCGGTGCTCTATCATACGCCAAAGTGCTTCGAGGCTTTCTCGTATCGAAGCTGGCTGATGCCGTTCGTCCTGGACGCAGAGCGGACCGACGTTGCCGAAGCACTCGCGAACGACGAGCTCGAACTCGTGCAGACCTGCGCCGATCGCTACGCGAACAACTACCACGCGTGGAGCTATCGACGCCACTTGGTCACCTTGTTTGAGTCTCGCGGTTTACGACATTTCAGCTTCGATAGCGAATGGATGAGCACGCTCATTTGGTGCAGGCAACATGTGTCCGACCATAGCGCGTACTCCTATCGGCAGTTCTTGCTGCGAAAGTACATCCTGGCAGTGGTCTCCTCGGGTAGGGAGACGCACGACAACTCCGGTTATCGCTCCATCAGGTACGACGGCCCATTCCTTTACATGGGTCGTCACGATCTCGACGACGACGAACGGACGTTGCTGGAACGTATTCGCGAGGTTGCGCGTCTGGAGCGTGATCACGGTTACTTGACCACCGATGTCCGCAAACTCAGGTGTTATCTAACGGCGTTGTCATACTGGACGGAAGAGTGCTTGTATAACGAACAGTACATCACCTTGCACGACAATCACGAGACGTTGTGGTGCCACCGCAGGTTCCTGGCGTACTTGATCGCTGTTCTCACAGCCGCGTACGCGAAGCACGCCTGTTACCGCGAGGACGATTTCTGGGACGCTCGGTGTCACGACGAGCCGTCACTTGCATCGCTCCTTCGCGACAGACGATTCACTACCGATGACGACCTGTTAATGGCGGCTCACGTGATGCTCATCAAGTCTTTTTGCTCGGTTAGTGTCGGTATCATTGAGATAGCGGTCAAGCGCCCGCAGGAAAAAATGTTCATCGAGAGATTTTGCAAGTATCTTGAGAGAATAGGCTTGCGATGATGAGGATTAATGTGTGAGATTTTAAGCTTGAGGCGCGATGAGCCGATTACAGGATTTTTCTTGTTATCAGGGTGTGTAAATATGAAAGTAATAAGCGTGCAGGCGATCGTGCATTGATGCTCGCGCTATAATTTATATTATAAAACAATTTCTCTCTTTTTTTGTGATTTCGTACCGTCTAAGTCACGTTAAGACGTATTCGATACGTACGATGTTATTCAGTGGCGTTTATATATTTAAAACAGTCGCAAAATAGTTTGTTTTTTAGGTTTTTGGTATTCTTGAACTATTTTTAAGACGTTTGATTGTTTGCTTTCCATCCAATATACGGAATGAGTCATAAATATGTTTTAAAACTTCGTGAGCGTGTTTTTTAATTAAAAAAGGAACAAATGTTTGTTTGATTGCAAATACATCGTTGTTGAAGTAATGAACACAAATACAGTATTATTAAATAATGATTTTATTAAAAAATTTCAGGTAGGAATTTCTTGTTTGTAAGAAATACTCAAAGTATCTTGCATTATTTCCCATGTTTAATCGAGAATCTGACCTGATAATCATTATTTCAAATCTTCTTTTTTCCATTATTTCGATAATGAAGCATTTATGATCTAAAATTCATAGGAATATTTGGTTTTCCTTTTTATTCAGGAATGTCCATGAAACTTTAAACGTACTTATGATTTATTCTGTATATATTTTCTAATTTTTTAATTTTATTTATATATTTAGGAGAATTTTCGTATTTTGAATTAAAAACCCTTTTAAGATTTGATATTTAATTTTTATTTTTAATCACTTGATCTTTTTTAGCGAAGGAAAGTCTTTTTTTTATAGGAGAAATATTTTAAAAATCTGTAAAGAGAATACTTTTTAGAAAAGAAATTTTTTCATAACTTTGAAATATTCCAGTTTGGTGCTCAAAGAATTATTCTCTTCGATTCATGAAGAAAATCTTTCGCCTGTAGTTAGAATTGCGATAAGCAGGATTCAATGTAGATAGGCAAAATTAAATCGTTATCGATACTTAATTCCCGCATTATTCGCTCGCATAGCGACTTCGACGAGTCATCGAGTGCACCAGTGATACGTAAAAGTGAATTATAATAATGAAGTGTAGAATATATGCGAGAAATAAGGAGGCGAATTCGTCTCGTCGAGAGGCTTCTCCGTCAAGGAGAGTACGAAAGTTTTGTCGTAAGAACAATTATGTATACTTATAAAATATTGAACGAGAAAGAAAAATGAAGATGCTAGTTTTCTAAGATTGTGTTCTTTTTGTCACAACCTGTAATAACGAGTACCCATCTCTCTATCCGTATTTTACAAAGTCCTGGCTGAGATCTTTGAGTTCTAAAGTAAAAGAACTCCACACTAATTACATAGAAAATTAAGTTCTGGTAAAATGAGTTAGTTTTCACGTATATGCGGCTATTCATCAGTTCTTACAGTTAAGATGGTTTTAAGTACTTGAGTTGTCATAAACCAATCGTAGAATTGTATTAGCATCTTAAGACTTTACTTAAGACGGTCTTAAAGTAAGAATGGTTTATAAATACTGGCCATAATGTAGCCTATAATGTAATAAATATAAGAAATGTTATAAATAAGGTTAAATAATAGTAATTTTGAGCTATGATGTATCAAAGGTGTAAAACTTGTACTCACACAGAGCATCCTTAATATACTATAGCTCAAAAATTCTCCTTTGCGAGCTATGTGACTTCTTATGTTTACATTATAAACTACATTATATGAAAAATCATTTCACTGGCACTTAATTTTCCATATAATTAGCACGGGCTCCTATAACGAATTTCTAACGCTCAATAATAAAGTCAACTCCTCTTCCTACTATCATTTCTTCTTTGCTATCTTATTATTCCTTGAAAGTACGGTCTCAAAAGATTGTCTCGGAAACATTGATTTACGTCGGAAAAGCTGTTCGACGTCGCTGCTACGATTACTATGTCACTACCGGCTGTCAGCTGCGTTTAGCTTTTTGGCACGACGCGATAACTGAAATAAACGAACTTTTATTTAACGCATGGCTCGTTCCTCAGTCACACTCGGGCGTTCGCTGTACTCGCACAATTTGGATTCGTGCGAATCGCTTTCCGTGGAAAATTAAATTGCGCTTAATTCTCTGACTACAGGCACTGTACTTTCAAGTAAAATTGAAGACTTCGCAAATACAGCTTTAAGTATAAATAATTAATTAATGTTTCCTTCGTTGCCAATGTTTTATTACATTGTTTATTTACATTGGTTATTTTGAAGTAGCAAATAATTTGAATAATACTCTACAATATGTGTTTCTGCTTTATTCGGGAATTTCGAAAGAACAGTTTTACTTGGCTGTAGCCAACGGATTAAAGTTTCATGCGAGCGTTGGACAGTGACATAGTTCAGGCCTTGTGTAAATAAATTCTGAGTTGGCATTCAAATCTTTTTCTTTTTTGAGACAGACGTGTAAATTTATAATTCGCACACTTAACGTTCTCGTCCATTATACGTTTTCGCGACACGTGAGGAAAAAATAATTTCTCGTGCACATTTCACGCGTTTAATTAATTCTGCCATCATATCGCGAAGTATCGGCATCTCGTTCATTACATGCCGCAAGAAATGAACCATCGGCTTTAATTCAGTCTTTCAGTTGCGTTCGAACGTTTGTTACGTGCAGCCAATCATAAGCTTATCAATAGTACTCTTATCATCGACAACGTTTTAAGCCTTCAACGGACAAAACGTCCATTGAACAAAATATTAGATTTTACCGCTCACCAATGGTGAGTCGAATTGAATACTCATGATTCTCGACATCGAAAAAAAAAATGACTGGATCTACGAGATCACACAAATTCCTAGAAGCTGACGCGTCGACAAGTAAACTCGCAAATTACAAGCGAGCAGCGGTTGATTCTTCGGTATATTCGAGAAATGATACCTCTGTTCAGTACGATGTCGACCATCGTGATTCACAGCTTCTCGCGAGATGCTGTCGGAGCGACTTTCGTCAGATCGTGATTGATTTCGTATTACAATAGTTAAAGGTGTATTTAAATGGATCGACTTTCCATTACAAAACATGGCAATTTTAATTCTGATAAAATGTTTTTGCGTCATTTCGATAATTGCAAGAAACTTGCATCTGCGAATGATAAAAAAAAGCAATAAAGTCAAGATGGCAATAAAGTCAAGAATTATCTCTGAAATAGCTATATTCGGGAAATATATTTAAATACTTTGTATGTACTTACAATTTAATTACTTACAGTTTAATTATTCAATTTTTCTTTAAAAAAATTATTTTTATTATATAAAGATAATTTTATTCAATGTAGCTAAATGTTGCGATTTTTTCTGATTTGATAATAAAGTTAAACACTATAAATTTTAAAAGAGGTCACAAAGACGTAGAATATTATCTTTTATATATTTAGACTTTGTTTCTCTTTGAAAGAGGAGATTGTTAGTTTGATAAAATTGCATAAGTTCTAAACTCCGAATTAACTTTATATAATAATGAAATAATAACATGTTAGTTATTACTTGAATGCTGATAATATCAACACAATTGCGAAACTTTAATAACAGATAATATATTAGTTGTAATATAAATAAATATAATATTTACTAGATCTCTCTCGTCACGCTGATCGTTCACCGATGCATCTGTCTTAACATTTTTCAATATTTCCTATTCTCAGTAATTCATTCGGCGGCATTATCAAATTGTTTATCCATGAGTGATTCAGAATTCGGGTAAAAACCTCGTACAGAAAAGAAGACAGTTTCCTTGTGTGGAAAACGAATAAATAATTTATAAGACAAAACCGAGATTTTCTCGCGATACGGATAATTCCGTGAAGATAATTTCGAGAATGAAACACTAAAGAGTGCGAATCGACAATGCTGATGAGTGATGACTATCGGTACCGATTGATGACATCAACGTCTGGAATGCTCGCGATTATAAATTATGCAAGTGTACATTTTAAAACTAAGTTGCATCATTGATAAAGGATCATCGAAAACGCGCTGTCAAAAGCGGTTGCACGTGACTGTTTCCTATCACTACCATTGGCCGATCTATGCGATAGGCGACGAACCGGTCGATAAGTATCCTCGCCTGTCTCAAGAGTAGACGCTATTGACTATTGTCAACTCAGTTTGGCCGAGTTTTGCTCGGAGTTTTGTCGTCGCGTTATCATGTGATTATCATTTCTTTCCTTTTCTCTCTTTGTTGTCTTTTTTTTAAAACAAATTTGAAAGAAGTGGAATGTTGGACTCGGAAGTGGAAACTGTGGTTGTTAATCTGCAACGAGGTTCAAGTTGTAGAATACCATCGACTTCTGCCGAAGGTAAGCTAAACATTTAAGTAGAATTTCTTTGTACGAAAAAACCTGCGAAACTTTCCCAATAGACGTAGTGTCTCCCGATAGAAAGATATTCAAGCCTAATTACTTTTCGTACTTATCGCATTCGTATTAACCTAATTTTTTCATTATATGTATATTGTACAGAGAGAGTAAAAAATAGCGAACCGGCTGAATATATTTCGAAAACAAGAGATTTTAGAAAAAAATGTTTCATACAAAGAAAGATCTTGAGCGTAGATATAACATCAGAAAAGTTAATTTTAAAATTTAATTTTAAAAGTTAATTTAAAAACTTTATTATTTTTCCATTTTTTAATTTGGACCTTTTCCTTTTTTATTCAATATTCTTGAGAGCATTGAAATCTTTTAAAAAACTACACACATACACAATGCAACTTAATTCTTTTGTTAAATACTTTTCAAATATGGATTGATATTTAAGTATCGTCAACATTTTCTCAAGTGTCTTGTTTTTGAAATATTTAACTGTGATATTTTTTGTTTGCTCTGTAGATAAGACCCCCAATTTCTTTCAGAATGATTTTATAAAGAAAAAATTTTCCTATAGTACCTATATATATTAATTTTTATGACACTATAATTTTTCAAAGTTAATCAGGTCTTGCATTATAGTATCATATTATTTTTCATCTCTTCCTCAACTAAATTATGATAATCATGGAACGTTGAGTAATTATTTTCGATGTTAAATATAGATTCGCGATTATTAAGGAGATCTGATATTTAACACTCGTTGAGAAATATCAAACTTGGTATATCGTGTGTCCTAGTTATAAAACACGAAATATTCTCTTACTCGTAATGTACGA